CATTGTAGTGATTGGAGATCGGTATTGTCTGTATTGTTATTCTTTGTAATTTTTGGATTAATAAGTTATGATATTTAGATTATATATATATATATATATGTTATATGTATGTCTGAATTATAGATGTAGAATAGATTGTATAAGGTAAAATGCTATAGCATCTTCTATAAGTTTTGCTACTAATTTCATTGCTAATTCCGTAAAAGTAATGCTTCCTTTTACTGTTTTGTTGGATTTAGGTCAATCGAATCGAGTCAAAAAATTTTATGTTAGTTGAGTGATGGGTCTTATTTCTGGACTCAAAATTTATTTGAATTTTTTGAATCAAATCCAATTTATGAAATTCGCATCGAGTCTAAGTTTTGAGTTTTTATTTAAATTTAATTATAAATATTTAAATGTTATGGTGTGGACTGGTTCAAGTTAACAGACTTTATCTAATCATTTAAGATATTTTTTTCATATTCCTTTTTCGCGTTGTATTGTTATTCAATAAATGAAATGTCATCTAAAATTGTAAAATATGTTATGATGTTATTTTTTTAAAAGCAAGTATTTTGAAGAAAGTATTGATGGAGGTATAAAGGAATCAAGAAATTGATAGGACAAAAATTACACAAAAATCACAGTAAAGAATTTAGATTAAATAAAATATAAAGTTTAGGGACTAAAATATAAATCAAGTTATATTTATTGTTAAAAATAGGAATTTAAATTGCATAGATATTTAATAGTGGTAGAGGAGCTAGTGATTCAAATTTGGTAAAAAATAATCTCAAAATGTGAGAGAAAATAGAGGTGAATGCTCGATTAAATCGAGTTAAAAATTTTGATTTAGTTGAACTAACTAATCATATTTTATTATTTAAAATTTATTTTAAAAAAAATTCGGGTCGAATCAAATGAACTGGAACAACACCACTCAACTGTGCATGCTTTCTGCCGGGTCTAAAGTAAATGATAAATACAGAAAGGATTGCATAATGTTTTGCAACTTTTACACACCAAAATGAATCCCCCAATGTTCTTTCACATATATGATGTAATGTATTAGTGGTACAAATGGGGGGAAATGGACAATAAATTACTCGTCTCCAATGACGCAACCGATTGCTAGACGAAACTCTAGCCCCGTAACACTGACGTAAAACCGAGATGGAACGAGAAAATACGATTGACGCACCGAAGAACTCGATCATAAATTGAGGAGTGTGGCCAGTTTATCCGAGGTTTCCGGATAGAATTTCCTTGCAAACAGGAAACACGGTCGTCGGATACCGTTCCATAGGCAAGGTTGTAGCAGCTCATCACCCTGCAACAAGGACGGACCAATGTAAAACATCATATCCTGAAAAGCACAAGAAAATGCATGTGGAATGCATACCTTATCATTACTTGTTATGTGGGTCTCCTGGTCCAGCGACTGAAAATAGACACCGAGATTTTTCAGAATATAAACTATTATACGACGGGAACCACCCATTTTCGAAATATCCGTTAAACGAAAAGGTGGTTTGTTGTCGAGTGTCGGCCGTACTACGTAACAACTCTTACTTCCTTGGCATCAAGAACAAAGAGACGAGCATGCGTACCGTAATATTCTGTAGAAGTTCGTAGGTAACATAAACAGCTGCCAAGGTGTTTGGAACCTCCAAATGTAATATCATTCCCTCCAGTAGAAATCTATCGATTTTGACACGTATCAAAGCCTTGAAAGAAAGCAAAATAATTCCCAAAAAAAAAAGAGATAATCCTGAAAAAAGGGTCTAACTATTTAAAATATCTAGTCAAAATAGGTCGTCTACTCCAAAAACACAAAACCTTCATTTCCTTGGTTAGCCATTATTGGAAGTCTTCGCTTCAGGCCCTATTAATGCCTATGCTCCTGGCTAAAAATCACTACCAGCTGCATAAATGCAATGTTATGACTAAGTACAACATTTCTCCCGCAAGGCATCTCCCCTGTCCTAGGAACTTTCAACCAAAAAGGAAATCTCAGTTGTGTATCCATACCAACAAAGCTACTTCAGTGAATAAACAAATAAAATCCACTTAGGAGAAAAAAAACATGAAACAGGAAGGGTACTTTCAGGTAACCTATAAATATGACATTTCTTCCCAATATAGGAATATGATCTATTACGTTGTAGATTTTGAATATGATCTATCCAACCCTGCTATGTAGGAGCAAACCTTGAAGGTTTGAACGAATTTCTTCCAAATATATCAGTTCATAAAAACCAAGTTCAAGGATAATAATCATGAAATTTAATGGAACAAAAAGAGTCCATGAAGCATATGAAGATGATAGAAAGGAATAACAAAACGACAGCCAAAAAAGAAATAACTCACACGGAAGAACATATCCCAGTGCTTCTCGAATGGCAGTGATCCTGGAGTTAATGCAATTTTAGAATGGACAGGAGGCATATTCAAAATATCCCTAACCACAACCCGTGACATAACCTCCTCGTCTGTTAATTCCCTTTTAGGAGCCGGAGGAAGCCAATCACTAAGGGCCTCGCAACCTCTAGGAGAAAATGCATAACATGCAACATTGCCATTTGGCAGATAGAGATAAGCACAAAGTAAAAGAAGGCTGGCAAAAGACACCGTTAGAATCATCCATATCGACCTCTTCAACGGAGGCCGAGGACGAGATCCAATCTTGATATCGCCCATGTTGCCTAGTCGCCACCCCTTAGCTTCCTTCATCCACTATAAACAGAACAATATTCATGTGTTTCCTCCTCAAGGAAAGGAATTACTATCCAACAACCGACAACATATCCTTCAATGGATCAATGTAAAGTGATCTGGAAGATGAAACCATATCAGAAAACAAAAAGCGTTACACCACTTAGTTTGTAACACAAGCATCCATCATAACCGAAGAGCAAAACTCAACAAAAAACGTCAACTTCAATACCAAGACAAACCCGATCAAACCCTTAACTTTAAAGCTTCGTACAGGCGAAATCAGCCAAACGTTGGAGACATTCAAGAACAAATTAAAACAGAACACAAAAATTACTTTTTTAATTCAAACGGCTCAAGAGCAAACAGTTTTATTTCCCAACATATGCAAAGAAGCAGAAACGTAAAAGGATTTAGATTTGCCTAACTGTTAAAAACAAAAACACAAGCATCTTTCAATCATTTTACTGAAGGAAAAAAGTCAACCCAAATCAAAGACGACTAATTCAAATCCAACAGCAACAAAATAACACTTGTACATTCTCATCTTGTTCAAACCAGATAAACGATTAATCAAATAAACACTGAATGAATGAATGAAACAATGTATTTTCTTAAGAAAATGGGAGAGAGAGCAAAGTTACCTGAGCAATGGAGGTGGTTGAAGAAAACGGTAGAGATCTCAAAATCCCAGAACTTGAAAGACCCAAAGAACAAAAAAAGACAATGAACATCAAAAAGGAAGGCAGAGCATCAAAGAAGAAACAAATGAAAAGAGATTTGTGAATGTGTATACATACATTCGCGTATATAATATTTATTCATTTATCAATCTCTGTATATATTAAAAACGATTAATTTCTGCAATAATTTAGAGATTTATCGTTGTATCTAAAATTCTTTACATTTACAAAAAGGTCTACAATTAGTACATTATCTAAAATTCAGGGTTTAAAATAAAAATTAAATCAAATTAACGGCAACCAACGTTCTAATAACCAAATCTTAATTAAATAATAACGAAAGTGACAAAATCTTATGTTTTCTGAATTTAGTGAAGAAAAGTGGAGAAAACATACATGTAAGTGATCAATATTTATTCGAAATCTAATTTTTTACTTAAATTTATTGCTATTTATAAATTATTGATCTAAATTCATTTTGATTATGTGCATTTTTTATTTTAATAATATTTATGTTAATTTGTATTTATGTTCATTCTAAATTAATGATTTATAATAATAAAATATATTATAAATTTGAAAAACGGATATGATCAAAGCCTGAGTCTTAAATGTTACTCAAAAATTGATTTATGTTTTAAATAAATCCAATTTTTATCTAAAACTTCATAATTACCAGTAAATTTGAAAATAATATTAATTCTGAAATTTTTTAAAATATATCGAGTTATATCTAAACTTTTTAACAGTTGACATAAGATTTTAGAGTTGAATTATAGACCGTCAACAACGATGAGGAGGATTTTCATCGAAAATATTAAACTTGTGCTATTTTTTAACTGAAAAATTATCAATCGCACTTAAAAATTATATTGTTGAAAATTATCAGTCTAGATTGTCCACGTGTTGCTATCTGTCATTGTCTGCATCTGGTAAGAGAGTTGGGGTTTACTCGAGTGCTGATTGGGAGTGATGCATCTTCTGTCGTTCCCCAAATTCATCATCACCCTACAGATCTGTCGATTCTTCATTTCATTGTAGCCGAGGCTTATCAGATTATCGTTTCTCAACCGGTTTTTACTCTCCGATCCATGAGCCGTAATGCAAACAGGGCTGCACATACACTAGCTAACTTCGCGTCAAGTTCCTCCGAATTAATTTCGTTTTTGCATGATTGTCTTTTACGTTTATCCACTATTGTTGTTAACAACGCTATTTTATGCTGGTGAAATGTGGACGCTCTTTTCCCCCAGTAGGTTTTAATAGGGTTTTTAAGGGGGCTCGGTTTTATCAATATATATATATATATATATATATATATGTATATATTCGATAAGTTAGTAGTGTTCTAATCTAACAACTACAGGGTTCAATAGATTTGGTTCGGGATAAAGATATTTTTATTGTTTTAATAATCTAAAGTGATTATATGATAATATTTATTCAAAATCTTTCTTAATGGTTGATAAGCCCATACAAACACAAATATGAACCCGAAATTTATTTAAGAAGAACAACACTTTCGTCGATGGAAAAATAAATAATAAACTAAAACTCCCGACTGAATTCGTATCAGGAGTCGAAAGAATACCAACTTAATTTTGACATGACTAACTGAGAAATTCCTGCATGAGAAGCATTGCAAGGATCAAACATCAAAGATCCACAAATGTATTGGTGCGGTTTAGACGGTAACAAGAAACAATCACTAAAACAAATCTCAACCAAATTATCATTCACTCGGGAAAATTCTAGGAGATTACCCTTACTGTTGATGCTGCGATTCGGATTCTAAACGTTCGTTTTCCTTCTTGAAAAACTCGAATTCCTGGAGGAGCTTCGCCAGCTTCGCAGCGTTCTCTTCTTGAATATGAGATGGAACTTTTTCTTGATATCCCGATGCATTGATGATCTTCTTCAACTTCTCCTGCTGCCTGTTAAAACCGGAAAAGTCGATCCCAAGTTCTGAATATGTTACTCAAACTCAAATGCAAGTGTCAGTTTTAAATGTGCTGAGACATGGATGTGTTCCTATTTTTGTGAAGTTTTCTTCATGTGTCGGAGTCTTTGTAGGGTTCTGTACCTAAGTTCAGACGGGTCGGATACAAGTTTCGAATACGAGTATTTCAAGAAAAACAGAGTTGAAGCTTGAAACAATTACAGTTCAGTTCGTGCGTGCCTATATCATTCACGAATAGAAAGTACTTACTTCAGTATTTCATCCATTTTAGTTTTGATCTTTTCGCGCTCGGCTTCTGCATTTAGGGCACCTTGAACCTTAAGATAAACTTTAAGGTTTTCGTTAACATTCTCGACCACGCATCCAGCTGGAGCATCATTTACACCACTCAGTAGAACCTGGAGAATGGTAATATGGAAACGTTCAAAACCAAACTCAATTAATCGAGAATCTAAAATTCTGAACTGGAATTTGATTATGCCAAGTTTAAGTATGCCGCAATACCTTAAAAGACGATAAGGTGGCAAGGGTTAAGATCTCTAATTCGCAAGATCTCATGATTTTTGCCACATCATCATTTTGACAGAATGCAAAAGCAGGTAACCTGAAACAAAATAAATCAATGCAACAATACAATTGGGAGAAAAGATGAAGAGAGTTACTTCTTCGAAGATTCGAAATAACTATATATATAATGCTTCACGTATGAACCTTTCGTTCTTCTGCTTAGCAAGCAGCTCAGCTCGGAGTGACCTAAGAGACCTAACTGTGGATTCCACAAGGTCCATTTCATATTCCACCCTTTCATTTGTCCAGCTCTGCAAAGCGGTAAGCCATTGCAGAAAACCAAAATTAAAAGTTGAATACGAGAAATATTTTGGTTTTCAGGATAATCAAACCAAAATATTTTTCAGAGGAAACTGGAACTTACCTCTACTGGTGATGGGTATTCACATATCATTATAGATTCCTTCTTTGTGTAGCTCTTTAGTCCTGGAAGGCGCTGCCACAGTTCTTCGGTAACAAATGGCATGAATGGATGAAGCAAACGCAGCCCGATTTCCAAACAAGTCCAAAGAGTGTCTTGCGCAAATTTCCTTTCAGAGTAAAAGGCTGCATTATCTCCAGCAAAGTACAGCTTAATAGCCTCGATGAAAATGTCACAGAACTGATACTGCCACCAAGAATACACACTGGTGGTAGCATCAGAAAATTCATACGCATTTAGGGACAATACAGTCTTTGATATAGCCTTGTTCAGCACTGAGAGTATCCAGCGACAGCTGAAAGGAATTGCCTCGGGATTTATGGACGATGGAGCAGTATAGTCATTCGGAAGCTTGCTCATGGCAAAACGAACAGCATTCCATAATTTGTTGCACCACTGTCTGTAGCCCACAACTCTTTGGATATCCAAGTTAATTTTATCCGACTGAAACAAAAAAAAAGGAAGGAAAACAACTGAGTGATGATCCTTGAGAAGAAAGGAAGGGACAAGTTTAATGAATGGTACATCATAACAGGATAAGTATGTAAAAAGTATGAACCTGAGCTGTGTAGGAAACAAGAGCAAACCGGAGAGCATCGGCACCACATTCAGCAATACCATTAGGAAAATCTTTCTGCTGCCCCTCTTTGGCAGTGGCCAGCTCATTAGGATCCAAATTACCCCCCTCGAGCCTTTTATGGAGGCCTTCAAGTGATATACCATTTATCACCTCAAGAGGGTCGATTACATTTCCCAGAGACTTTGACATCTTACGCCCATGGGCGTCTCGGATCATAGGATGCAAGTAAACCTGAAAAAAATGAAGATCATCAAGGGTTAATAGATAACCTGAAGCAGTCGCACAAGAGTTCTGTATATAATTTAGGACAAAGATTGTACTCACCTTACTGAATGGTACATCCCCTCCCAATTGAATTCCCAACATAACCATCCGAGCAACCCAGAAGAAGAGAATATCATGCCCAGTTTCAAGGACTGATGTTGGATAAAATGCTTTTAAATCAGCTGTATCATCGGGCCATCCCAACACAGATAACGGAAAAAGACCAGAAGAAAACCAGGTGTCAAGTACATCAGGATCTTGGCACATCTCAAACTTCTTCCCGGAATATTTCTTCCTAGCTTCTGCCAGAGCCTGTTCCTCATCTTTGGCAACTATCCAGTGATCGTTGTAAGCACCAAGTTCCTTCTGTTCATCATCTTCCAATGTAACATACCATGCAGGAATACGGTGACCCCACCAAAGCTGCCTTGAAATACACCAATCACGGATGTTGTCAAGCCACCTGCAACATTTGAAATTTCTTACTTAGGTTAGGCAGCCATAAAACTTGGACAGCATCAGATAAATACAACAGAGTATACTAACAAAGCCATCGATGGAGACCATGAAGACATGTTAACCTAAAACTTGTAAAAGCAATGGTTTCCTTCAGCTTTTTTTCTTTTTTTCTTATTAAAAAAATTCAGGCTTTTGCTTAATCAAATCGCAGCAATCTAAGTCAAATATGAGAATCCGAAAACACCAAACATAAAAATAGTCAAAATACTAGAGCAAGATCATTAGTCTACAACACATTGGCAGGAACTAGGGGAAAACAAGTACCTTTTCCATTCTGCAGTATACTGCTTTGGAATGAACTCAAGCTTCTTGTTTTGATCATCCATTGCTGCATCAAGAGCCTGCTTTGCCATGCTACTGCAGTTTACATACCACTGGGGCTTTATCATTGGCTCCACAACATCATTGCTTCTTGAACAAAGGCCAAGGCGCATCTCATTGTTTTGAGCTCCTCTATACAATTTCTAATGATGAAGAAATAAGTAAATGAATGAAAGATCGTGCATGGATAAAAATAGAAATTATTTAATGCAAAATTAATATATATAAATGTGCGAAAGGCAACAATCGGTCAACACATAAATCAGGACACAATCAATATCGCCCTTCCTTCTAGCACCTTTTTTTTTATAAGATTAGAAGGCCTCATTAAAAACCTCCTCCTAGCACCTTCTTTCTAGGAATTTTAACTACGTTTAGTTATTTTTTTTTGTTGATGCCAGGAGTTAACCATATATGTGATCCTACATAGAGCACAATTATGACATATCATCTCATGTGGATCCAGCATGGTAGGAAAAGACCTTGGAAGTTTGGGGTAGAGCATGGAGCTTTCAAATCACCAAATGGAGTCAGGTTTAATTCTTGCTACCTATATAGATGGGGTGCAAGACACACACACCCCCATAATCAATAAATTTAACAATCACATACCACAGCAGCAAAGAAAACTAAACTTAACAGGAAATTGCTAGAGTCCCTGTTTTTATGTCAAATTTTGTCAAGGAAAGTGATTCAAAGCTAGCAGTGGATTGGATAAAAGATCAAGCTAGAGTCCCTGTTTTTATGTCAAATTTTGTCGAGGAAATTGCTTCTACTGTTTCTACTAAACAGGTTATTGTTAGGTGGATTCCTAGATGCTGTAACTCTGAGGTGGATAAGCTAGCAAAGGAAGGAATTGGGTGATTAATAATGTTGTTTTGGTTGGTTTGTAAGTTTTACAGGAAAGGTCATATAGGAGTGTTTTATGTTTTATGTTCTATGTAGTTTGAAAGACTGTTTTTAAGTCTTATGTAACTGGTTTATTATCAATAAATTGATGCACTCTTTTCCTCCTTCCGCTAGTTGGTTCTAGCCTTAGGGCAGAGAACTACTATGAGGGAGGTTTTTAATGAGGCATTCTATTCCTATCCAAAAAAAAACTACACTTAACAAAAATTTGCAAGTTCTCAAAGTGAAAGATAAGTCTTCCTAATCCCTAGATGCATATCAATAAAAGTAAATACCTTCTTCTGCAGTGCATCAATCACTGCCTCACGCGCCTTAAACCGTGGCATTCCAGCAAATTCTGCTCCACCATTGCTATTTATTTTCCCATCATCAGTGAAAATGTTAATGAATTCAAGATTATGGCGCTTGCCCACCTCAAAATCATTTGGATCATGAGCTGGAGTTATCTGTACAACAGCGAAGGCAATAACAAGAAATATAAACAAAACAAGGAGAGACAAACGATCACAGCATCTCAAAATATATGATAGAACTCTTACCTTTACTGCACCAGTTCCAAAACTTGGATCAACTAGAATTGCATCACAGATGATTGGGAGTTTTCTTCCATTGAAAGGATGAATTGCAAATTTCCCGTGTAGATGACTGTACCTTTTGTCTTCTGGATGAATAGCTACAGCTGTATCACCAAGCATTGTTTCCACCCTTGTAGTGGCAACAACAATTTCACCCAAATCTCCCTCCAAAGGGTAAGCAAATGAGGTTAATACACCAAACTCCACAGGTTTTTCATTACTGGGTACCTTAAACAAGGTCCTTTCTTTGATGTCTGCATAATCCACCTATAAATATGAAGCAACTTCAGGATAGGCAGCAGAAGATGCAAAAAGAAAAAATTACCCAAAAAATTGTCTTACCTCTATATCAGAGATAGCAGTTCGCAAGACACAGTCCCAATTGACTAACCGTAAATCCCTGTAAAATGCAAGGAGAAAAAAATAAGCAATTTAATTCAAACAGGCAAAAGATAATGCTTAAAGGATACCTATCATTCTAAATGCTATAAACAATTCATTTTTACTGTCAACAACATAAATTCATCAAATCACAGCCTATCAAAAATATTTCCACGTAAAACATACCTATAAATAAGACCATCCTTATAAAGCCGATTGAAAGCCTCTGTCACAGCCCTTGATCTCTTCTCATCCATTGTAAAGCACTGGGAAAAGTAAACAAAACAATATAATAAAAATGAAAAATCAGCAAGAAACATAAGAAGATATTAATAGAACAGCTTAAGAAAAATTTAACAATAAATCAATTAAGCCAGCATAAGGAGGCACCCATCACCTCACGGGACCAATCAAGGGAGGCACCCAAACGTCGTAGCTGACTCAGAATGGTACCACCATACTCGGTCTTCCACTTCCAAACCTAATAATAGTGAGATCAATAAAAAACCATGAGATGTATTTGCAGAGCAAATCAATAAGATCCATCTTAATTTCAAAGTTAAACTCAGAGAAACTTGGTTTCAGAGTTAAACTCACTTCATTTACAAACTCTTCACGACCAACATCATGTCTAGTTAAGTGTCTTTCACGCATTAGCTTTTTCTCTACAACCACCTGAAAAATTCAGACATTAGAGCAACTTCAGCAACACTGGTCTATATCAAACAAAAGGCAAAAGATAGAGTAATTTAAATACAATACCAACTATAAGGAAATGAAATTTAAGCCTTAACTGATCCAAATAAATACTAAAGAAACTCAACCTGCGTAGCTATCCCAGCATGATCCATGCCAGGCACCCACAATGTATTATAACCAGACATCCTTCTCCAACGAATAATAGTGTCCTGCATACAATAAAATTTAAACGTAAACATAATTCAATGTAAAAGTCAGAGAGCAAATAATAGCAGCAGTAGCATTATACAACGCAACCTGTATGGCACCAGTTAGTGCATGGCCAATGTGTAGGGCCCCAGTCACATTTGGTGGAGGGAGAACCTGCAAAATCAGTCAGGTTATTGAAGATCAACAAAATTAGATGGGTTTTTTTTTATTTAAAAAAAAGTGAATACAAAGTGTGAATTCCAGTCTGAGACATACAATCACAAATGATTGTTTCGAGCTGCTTGCATCAGCCTGAAAAAAACTAGATTTCTCCCACCAAGCATACCAACTAAACAAACGGAGATAAAAATGTACAAGTTATATAAAAAACTATCTTTAAACCATATCGAATCTACAAACCATCCATCACATGAACTTTTTCAACACTTACGACTTCTCCACGGCAGCTGGACTATATTGTTTAGCCATCTGATTAGAAAGTCTTTTCTTCTCGCCCGAAGGAGTCTCGGGATCCACAAAATCCTCCAGATTCTCATCATCAGTTTCTCGCTTGGCACTCTTCTTTGCACTCTTTTTGGGAGCATTTGATCCTTGTTGCGCCTTTGTAGAATTACAAGAAACAAAAGCATAACACTCGATCAAAACAAACTATTTATATCAAGTAAACCATGTATAAAAATTGTATATTAAGTCTCAACTCCACTTTTCTAGCAAAAGTATAACATAAGCAGTTAATCACAACAAAAATGATCAAATGTGTAAAGATCTCGAAAAAAAAATACAAGCACTTGTATTAACTTTTAGTTCCAATCTCGTTTAAGCATAGTGTCAAAATTTGTTAAACCGATGATATGCCATATTTTAGTCTCGTATCCGGAATCATTTAAGCCTAAAACTAATTACACGAACAGTTCCACAAGTTCTTAAACAGATCATTCGTTGCGAACTTACCTTAAGTTTGGCTGCCTCAGCTTTTTCTAAGGCCTTGAGTTTCTTCAGTTCCTTCTCCCTCGCCTATCAATCAAACAAGTAAACCAAAGGTAAAGCTAAATAACAATAAACGATTCCACATTTCGAAAGTAATTAAAGTAGAACAGAACAAGAATAAAGGAACTTTTTCTTCTTTCTTCTTCTTTCGTTCGAGCTCTTCCTCGGTCAAAGGCTTCGTATCCGGTTGCTGAGACTGCAGATTCAATCCAAACAAAGTTAATTTAAAAAAAATCAATGAAAAGAGAGAATAATGCGATTGATGAAAAGGAATGAAGGAGACCATGGCTGCCGTTGAGGAGAGAGATAAAACGGAACGGCGTATCGAAAGTGTATAGGAAATTAGGGTTTTTGCTGTGAGCTTTAGACTGGCACCGGATGATAGAGAAAGCATAAAAACGAATGGAATTTAGCGTTTTAGTTCCTATCGAGTTATGGAGTTTTTACCTTCCAAAAAATAAAATGTAAAATTTGAAACATTAAAATTATAGGAAAAGTACGGTCCGTCGTATAGTACTGTTTCATTAAGTATTTTGAATATTAAAAATTATAAAATAAAATAAAATTTTAATTTTAAAGTATTGTTTTTTATTAAGTATTTAAACTATTAAAATTTATAAAATAGTCATCCGATTATTTATCAAGTACCAAACTCGTCTTTTTATATTAAAAAATAAATGATATTTCGAGCGGAATGTTAATTTGTTGCCTGTGATATAATAAAACTTGATTTAAAATCTCAAACGACTATCATATCATATTCATCATGTTAATCTCTAACTTAAACAACAGTCAATTTTTTAACGGAAAATGATGAGTTTGAAACACAAATAGTCAGGTGGTCATTTTGTAATTTGTAATAATCAAAGGACTTAACAAAGCAACATTATATAATTAAATTACCATTTTTAAAATTTTTAATAGTCTAGAAACTTAATAATTTAATATACTAAAGTCGAAGAACCACTTGTGTACTTTGTACTTTACCCTAAAATTATATAAAATTAAAAGATCGATTCTTTAAGATAGAATGACATCTTTATCCTTAACATCGTTGGCTTAGTTATTTAAACTTTTATTGTGGTCTTTTATCTTAAAATTATTTATTTATTTATTTATTGATAGAAATAGTAATTTTAATTTCATCATATCTATGTTATTATTTATTTATTAATTAATTAATAGAAATAATAATTTTAATTTCATCATATATGTATTACTTTTTATTTATTAATTTATTTACATAAATAATAATTTTAATTTCATCATATCCGTGTTATTTGTCATTGGATTGAAGCAAAAATAAACTATATACCTTTTCACAATCAAATGAAAGTCTCATTTAATAGAATTCAATTTCTAATAACTTTTGTTATCTTCAAACCTATCAAGTGACTTTAATAGTCAGAAGAAAAATTGTTAATTATTCTCTTTAAAAATGTTAAATTTGAATAATTACGTCTACACAATGTATATACATTGTCGATGATTAAAATAATTTGAACATTTTTTATCATAAGTACAACTTTGTGTGTAACATCCCAAATTATGGGTTAGTGACCAAATTGTAAAGTTTCAGAATTTGATGACTAAAGTAGAAGAATGAAATAGTTCAATGATTATTAGATACATACGATGAAGGTTATTTGGTAATTATTAAAGGAAATAAAGGGCAAAAGGTCAATTGACCAAGAAATGAATTAAAATGGGATTGGTAAGGATAAATACACGTGGAAATGGAGAGAATTCTCCAGAGTGCTCTTCTCCTTTCTTCTTATTCTTTACTTGGAAGCCAAGAGCAAAGGTAAGTTTGATTTAGCTTTTGATTTCTTGAAAGTTTTAAGTTGGATTTGAGTCTTTGAGGGTTATATAAGCTTAAGGAAAGCTTATATAAGTTTAAAACACCAAAGAGAGAGAATTAGAAAGGAATTTTTATTAAGGGTTTATAAATGAACTTTTGTTATAGAAAGGTTTTTGAAGTTCTAAAGTTGGATTTGACTTGTCAAGGGTCTAATTAAGAAGTTAGAAACAATTGAATGGAATTTGGAACATGTTAGAAATTGAGTATGATTCTTGAATTTCCATATGAAAGATGGAATTTAGAGGTTAAAGATTAGATAAATGAATATTAATGAGTTTAATTATGTATATGAAAGTTAGGAATATGAAAGTGGTTGAAATATGAAGGATTTAATCCAAAAAGAAGGAATTTTCGGGTTCAAAAAGAGGTTATGGGCAGAGTGCATCGATGCATATTCATAGTGCACCGATGTATTAATGTTAAAACCCATAAATTGTTTGAAGGTGTATCGATGCATTGGTAGTACATCGATGCACTCTTTTAAAATAAATACATCAAATGCAATTCGTGCATCGATGCATAAGTAGTGCATCGATGCATCCCATTAATAAGGAAACATCGAATGCAATTAGTGCATCGATGCATAAGGCATGCATCGATGAATCCCAGTAATAAATAAACATCGAATATATTTTATGCACCGATGCATCAGTAGTGCATCGATGCATACCTTCATTAAAAGATGAAATTGCCTTTTCTCTTAGTCTAAATAGTGAACCATTAGAGTATATTAGTTATAATACTAATATAGATCTATGTATGATGATGTAGAAATAGAACGTGATCCCGTTCCGGATCAATTGAAGGATTATAATCGAATCAAAGCAAAGTTAAGGTGAGTGCACATTCTCTAGTATATGAGGTTAAAGGGAAAATAAGACTTGTGATGAGTCTATTTCCAATAGTGAAAAACATTAATTCATAGAAGTATGTATTTGTTATGATTTATATGTGTGCATGAGTATATGTGTTATTGATATGAATATGGTAAGTAAAAGGGATTAATGGTGATGATAAGAATAATAATAAGGATAATGAAATGATAGGTATATGTGAATATAGGTATTGATGTGTTTTGTATGTATTGTAAGATTATATGTTTATGTGATAACATGATAAGATGACAATGATTTACATGTCATATGAACACATGAGAAATGTTATGAGCCATGTGAAAGAGAAAGTATATGTGATACATGAGGGTGAATCCTATGTTTATATGAATATGAACTCATATGAGAATTGACATGAACTACGTGATTACATGTATATGTGAATGAAACCATGAGCTTATATGAATATATGATATGGTTACATGAATATGTAAAAGGATATAAAAGATAATGCCCATGTTATGTGTCATGAGAGCTAGGGGTATAGTTGGCATGCCAAGAGTTTAGGGTCTATGTGGTCCTTCGGGACATATATGTATTCTTTGGAACATGTGTGAAGTCTGGTGAGACACATACTTGATCCTTGGCATATGTATATGATTCTTAATGAATGATATGTGGTCCTTCGGGACATATATGTATTCTTTGGAACATGTGTGAAGTCTGGTGAGACACATACTTGATCCTTGGCATATGTATATGATTATTAAGGAATGTTATGTGGTCCTTCGGGACATATATGTATTCTTTGGAATATGTGTGAAGTCTGGTGAGACACATACTTGATCCCTAGTATATTATATGATTCTTAAGGAATGATATGTGGTCCTTATGGACATTATTATATGGCACTACAGTGCAATTCTACGCGGCACTCCGGTGCAATTATATGTGGCACTTCGGTGCAATTATATGAGCTGTGGTGACAGTATTAGTGCACAACCTCTATGTACTCGCATATCTTTAGTTCTCACATGTGTATCATGGGCTATTAAATAGATAATATTAATAACGTGATATGATAATATGTTTATTTCCTTGTGGAATTTCACGTGTGATATTGATTATACAAATGGTAACTTATAAGACCATATGATGAAAGGAATCAATGATAGTGATAAAATAAGAAAGAAATGAAGATGATAATATAGTTGCTTGGGTGTACGTGTTTTATGATAGTATATATATATGGTTTACATGACATGATATGTATATGTGCAATTGGTTATGATATATGAATATATGATATGGACATAAGAGATCATTGGAACATGAGATAAGAGATATGAATGATAATGACATATATGTATGCATATATTTGTTACATGTAAAAGTATGAGTGGTATGAAATGATAGTAGTAATTGTTTAGGTATGATTATTAGTTACCGTTTACCTTATATGTTTATATGCCTCACTAAGTCTTTGACTTAGCGTGTAAGTGATTTATACGTAGGTTTCGAGAAGAGTAAAGAGCAATGTGGAGCAAGACATGTCAGTTATTCTTACTAAAGGTCAGATCAGAAAAGATGTGAATAATATGTATTTTAGTATATAAAGTTCTAGTTGACATGTTTTCAAAAGAATCTATTGTTTAAGCTATGAACAGTTTTATAAATGTTTCGAATAGTTATATGTAAATAAATAAGTCAAATATACATGCTCTGATTGCTTTTGTAATAATGAAAATGTTTTTATGTAAATTAGTCATTTATATGTTATAAAAGTTTTAAATTACTCACTATTTTATACAAGTACATGTTTTAAAAGGTCAATGTGACACCTTGAATTCGTATCCGGGTCGGATACGGGTTGGGGTGTTACATTTAATGGTATCAGAGCTACGGTTTAGCCGATTCTAGGCTTAAATGGAAGTCAGAAGTGTTTTAAAAAGTATACATGCCAACTCAAAGTGAAAAAAATTGATCTGATAGTGTAAGGAGTATGCGGTATTGCTAATAAAAATATATTATTATGTGATAATATAAGTATGATAATAAGAGTTTCGAAAGAAGTGAAAGGTAATAAACCTGAAGGTAATAGCATTCACCTGCCAGGCAGGGAGAAGAGCGAACACCTCAGGAAGTGCATGTATAAAATTTGGAAAATTATTCTTCATGTTGAAGAATGTTCTGATGTGGTTTCAATTTATACTTCTTTAACTCATATAATGAATGTATCAAATTAGTTGATAAAGTTACGAGCACCCAAGTTCAAGGGTGGATTTGAGGAAGGTTCTATTGTTATAGACCTTTGGTTGAATGATATGATAGAAGGTTTTCATTTCTTCAAAGTGGAGATGTTGAATTGAGTAGTTTTGTTACTACTTTGGTAAGTTAGAGTATGGTGGACAATTGTCACCATAAGAACGTTAAAAGATTAAACGATGTGATTAGAATTGTATAAGAGTTCAAGAATAAGTGCATTGATGACCAGTTTATAAGACAGATGAAACTGGAATACACGAGCTTGAAACAAGGGAATTACACCTTGTATGAGTATGATTATAAGTTTATTAAGCTAAGCAGAATTGATGCTGAGTTAATTCCGACTGAAAATGATACATGTGATTTGTTGTTAGGACTTGCGCCTTAAATTAAAAGAGTGTTACTGGTTTTGAATTTGTTATCGTTTCAAGAAATGGTTAATTGTGTTAAAGCTTT